CCTGGCCCGTTTCCTAGGCGACCCTGCCCGAGCAAGAAGCGGCAGAGAATCCAGAGGCTCTCACGCCGGCGCCCTCAAAGCCAAACGCGCGCGGCTTCTCAGAGCAAAAGCTGAAGGCGGAGAAGAGGACGCTGGCCAACATGCTGCCGTTCGGGCGCCAATCAGCAGGCGGACTGGAGCAGAGGAGGGTGGGGTTTCCTGTTCTCTAAAGGGGCGGTCCTAGGGTTTGACGAGGGCGTGGCCAGGTTTGGGTGGGGGCGTGGCCAGGGGAGGGAGGTGAGTTCCACCACCTTTTCTCTGAGAAAAAAAGCCCTGCTGACTAATATCATTTATTAAAAGGCATAGCTTTCATGAGCTGCAATTCACTTCATTAGAGGCATGAGTGGCTAAACTCATGAAGGATTTTAATTGGGGGGGGGGATTGTGCTGATGCAGATTACACATGAGAAAGATTACAAATACAGATAGCCTTCAGTGCATTGGAAACTATAATGTCCTAGTTTTGAGGACAGATAGTACCTTTCACATTTTTTAATGTAACTGCCACAAAATCCAGCCAACATACTTGATGATCAAGGATTCTAAGAGTCTAAAATATTTGGAAGATTCTGAGTTTAATTGTTCTCTGAGCTACTGTTTCAGGAGAACAAACTAGAGAGATGATCCGTAAGTAGGAGAGTGCTATACTTCAGAAAGAATAGCTGGGAATTCAAACCCAACAGGTGATGGCATCTAGATTAATTTTTCTAGGCTTCAAAACAAAGCAAGGCCAGGATCAGTGAGTTTTTGGGTGGAAGAATAATAGGAAATACCAAAACTAGTCTGAGAAATTTAAAAACAAACAAACAGAAGAAGACACTGGCAAACCACTTCATTAACAAAAATACACAGTGTACCCATGGAATAACATTGAGGTCAACTCAAAGGATGCTACCATTTATAAAATGATATAGGCTATGAATAATTTTGAGGGAGAGATGCAAGAGGAAGATGGGGAAAACAGCCCTCTTTCAACAGAGGGGGAGGGATAGGACATCATCTATCTCCAGTCTA